CTGCCAAGATCGAATGTCCACAGGCTGCTTTTGTACAGATGTCAGATAACAGAACACCAGGCAAGGCGATCCAACCAATCAACCCACTTCGGGTCTCCATGGTTACCAATAAGGGTGTTAAAGTCCTTCAGCAGAATCCAGGCTCTCTGTAGTAGAATGTTTTCAATTCCGGTTGCAATGAGTGTTTATACAAAAACCTCTTACTGATGTGTACACATACTGTATGTATATATACATATAGTCAAAGTATATATTCCTATATTCAAAGTCTCATTCCATATATTCAAAGTTTCTTTCCATATATTCAAAGTTTCATTCCATACAGTATATTCAGACTTTGTTCAATATATTAATGTATACATGTTTATGTACATATAATGTATTCTTTATATGTATTTATTCTCTTACTTCATGTGTTCTCATCTCTCTGAACCGACTCAACCTCTGACTCTCCTCCAGATCAAACCTGTGTTTCTGTTTCCTCGTGCATTTTCCTCATGTACCTCCCACTGTCTGTGTGTGTGTGTGTGTGTATTTGTGTGTCTGTGTGTGTGTGTGTGTGTATGTTGTGTGTGTGTGTGTGTGTGTGTGTGTGGTGTGTGTGTGTGTGTGTCTGTGTGTGTGTAGGCACTGCAGGACAGTGAGACGGTGAAGCGGATTCTGGGTCTGGTTCTGGCCTTTGGGAACTATATGAATGGAGGGAATCGAACCAGGGGCCAAGCTGACGGATTCTCACTCGATATACTGCCCAAGCTAAAGGATGTGAAGAGCAGTGTGAGAGACACACACTGACACACTGAAACACACTGAAACACACTGACACACTGAAACACACTGATACACACTGACACACACACACACACACACACACACACAACACACACACACACACACACACACACACACACACACACACACACTGAAGCACACTAAAACACACTGAAACACAATGACACACACTGACACAAACTGACACACACTGAAACACACAAATACACACTGACACACACACACACACACAACACACACACACACACACACACACACACACACACACACACACACACACACAGAAACACTGACATACACTGACACACACTGACACATTCTGACACACACTGAGTTAGTTATAGTTATATGTTATAATTGTTCATGATCCTGTATTTGGGTCTTTACTATAACAATGAGTAAGGTATTTAACCTGTTCTTTAATATAACAATGAGTAAGGTCTTTAACCTGTTCTTTAATATAACAATGAGTAAGGTATTTAACCTGTTCTTTAATATAACAATGAGTAAGGTCTTTAACCTGTTCTTTAATATAACAATGAGTAAGGTCTTTAACCTGTTCTTTAATATAACAATGAGTAAGGTATTTAACCTGTTCTTTAATATAACAATGAGTAAGGTCTTTAACCTGTTCTTTAATATAACAATGAGTAAGGTCTTTAACCTGTTCTTTAATATAACAATGAGTAAGGTATTTAACCTGTTCTTTAATATAACAATGAGTAAGGTATTTAACCGGCTCTTTTGTAAAGTGTCTTCAGATAACATTTGTTATGAATATACAAATAAAGATTGGAACAACGTGCAAGGAGTCACAGGTCGATTAGAACCCAGGCTGCCCGCTTGGAGGATGACAGCCTTCATACCTTGAGCGTGCGCACAACCACTAATGTGCCGGCGCCCCTGAGATGAGTTTTTGTGTCTGATTCTGGTTTTATTGTCTCTCTTCAGGACGGCTTGAGGAGTCTGCTCTCCTACATCGTGTCTTATTACCTCCGACACTTTGACCAGGTCAGATTACTTTAATACTTCAAAACTTTAATGATGACTCTATACATCTCAGTCCCCCTCATATGTGTGTGTGTGTGTGTGTGTGTGTGTGTGTGTGTGTGTGTGTGTGTGTGTGTGTGTGTGTGTGTGTGTGTGTGTGCCTGTGTGTGTGTGTAGTGTGTGTCCACAGGATGCTGGTAGAGAGACATGTGTGTTTCCTATCCCGGAGCCTCATGATCTGTTTCAGGCATCTCAGATGAAGTTTGAAGATTTCCAAAAAGATGTGATCAGACTGAGGAAGGACCTGAGAGGTGTACACCACACACACACACACACACACACACACACACACACACACACACACACACACACACACACACATTGATCATTTTTTTGGATGGTCTGATTATGATTTGTGTGCTGTGTGTGTGTGTGTTTGTGTGTTTCCTCTCAGCGTGTACATCCGAGGTAGAGAAGGTGTGTAAGGTGTCAGAAGAGGAGAATCTGCAGCCTTTTAAAGATAAGATGGATGACTTCCTCGCACAAGGTGACTCGTCAACATGATAATAACAATAAATCAGATATTATGCAAACAGTATAATAAATGTGTCTTCATGTATTTCTTCTTCTGTTCTGACTCTGTGTTCTTCTTCTTAGCTAAAAGTGAGCTGGAGGCTCTGGAGGCTCAGCTCAGCAGCACTCACTCTCTGTAAGAACCAAACATTTGGATTTAAAGATAATGAACTTCTCACCCTTTAATATTAAAGCAGGTTTAACTCCACAGAATAGAAGTCTTGGTCAGAGTAAAGAATGCCTTTGATATCTCCTAGCATTCAGGAGTGACAGTTCATTTTAGTTTAAATGTAGGACACTTAAAACGATTATACCTCTGAATATTTCATTTACTTTTACTAAATAATGATTCTATATTGAAATGATATCTGAACCTGTCTCTGTTCTCTCAGATTCCTCGAGCTCTCAGTTTCCTTCTCTGTGAAACCGAAGGCCGGAGAGAAAGAAGTTTCTCCGAACACGGTGTTCAGCGTCTGGCACGAATTCTCCTCCGACTTCAAAGATCAGTGGAAGAAAGAAAACAAAGTGATTCTCAAAGAGAGGTGAAAAACAAACGCTTAAACTCACATATCTTTAACATATTCATGAACTCAGTGTCAACGAGATTTAAAGATTTCATACGAGTTGATGCACTCTGTTTCCTCAACCAAACGGGACACTGCAGATCGCACATACCACAAACCTCACTGAGAGAGAGCTTTGTCTCAATCTATCGAACACAAATTAGAGCTCTCAGGTCACACACCTGGTCACACACCTGGTCACACACCTGGTCACACATCTGGTCACACACCTGGTCACACACCAGGTGGCACATCTGGTCACACACCTGGTGACAAACCTGGTCACACACCTGGTGGCACATCTGGTCACATACCAGGTGGCACATCTTGTTGGCACACCTGGTCACACTTGTTTAAAACATGAGCAGCTGCAGAAACATTTAGTCTCCTAAGAGATATTTGTGTATAAAATTTGAAATAAAGAAGCTTTGTTCATCTGATAACTTGATAATTTTGACAAACTGCAGAAAATCAATCAAAGCAGCTGATTACATTTATTCAGTGACATCAATAACTGTTTATGAAGGGGTTAATTATTATGATCTCATTAAAAACATTAAATATCATATTACCATGAACATAAACATTATGCATTTTGAATTGATTGTATTGTTATTATCATTAACCTCCAAGCTTGGAACATGTGACCCCAACGACCAACATACAACCGGGGGTGTTAACAACTCTAAGTCAGCAACGCCCATGTGACCATCCTTGATCATTAGCATGCTAATCCACAGAGGCTTACATTTATCTCTCCATTCACCAGCTAGTTTACAACTGAGGAATTCTTTCGGAGGAGGAGCGGTGAAAAGTCTTCAAGATCTTCAACCTTTAGATCAAGCTTTAAATTGACCATGACCTGGACGAACAAGAACCTGCCCAGACTTTATCATTAACTATATTGTGTTTTTGCAGGTTAAAATCAGCGGAAGAATCTTTCCGGCAGGCAAAGGAGAAATCTTCGTACAGCGTGAAACCAAAACACGCCTCAGGCATCGTGAGTTCACCTTTAACCTTAAATGATGTCACCTATCTATCTGAACCTCGGGGTTGTTTACCTGACCATCTAATGACTGATGGAGAACATAAATATCATGACTGTTTATCATCATGAAAATAAATATATGATCTAAAAGGCTGCATTTCTTAATACAACGTTCACTTGATGATCTTCTGTTCTCAGAAAGCAAAACTGGGCATGAAGATCTGACCCACTGGAGAACCTTTGGACAACAGCAGAGAGGAGGAGAGGAGAGGAGAGGAGAGGAGAGGAGAGGAGAGAGGAGAGAGGAGAGGAAAGGAGGATGTAAAGGATGAAGAAGAAGTTACACAAGTTGATGTTCCTGTGACATCACTCATCATCTGTGTGTGTGTGTGTGTGTGTGTGTGTGTGTGTGTGTGTGTGTGTGTGTGTGTGTGTGTGTTTGAACAGGAAGTGAACTGTTTCTGTGCAATAAAAGTCTTCATGCAAACATGTAAATGATGGTGTGTTTTGGAGCTGTAATTATGTAAAATAAAGACATGATTCTGAACTATTACTATTATTATTATTTTCATCATCATCATTGTTATTATGATTATTATTATGTCCGTCCCCCATAAGGATTACCAGAGTTAGAACGAGTTTGACCAGAAGTCAACTGTTTTGCGCTTGTTGATCCACATTCTCATAGGAGTTTAACCACATCATTAAACTATTTGTCTTTTAGTCTTGGAATAACAATTTATTCTATGATAGGACTTGATCCATCCTTTTTCTCACTCGTTAAGTCTGCATTAATATGACCTTATAAAGATATTACACATGTCCAATACAGCAGGCACACGTGTAGAGAATCTACACATCTGTCAGACCCCCACAGCAGCTACAATCTACACATCTGTCAGACCAGCGACAAATAATTAACGTCTTTTAACGATAATAATAATCCACCAAAAACGTGTCCCCACAATTTATATCCAATCAATCAATCTTTATTCGTATAGCGTCAATCATAACAAATGTTATCACTTTACAAAAGCAGGTAAAAGATCTTACTAATTGCTATATTACAAAGACCCAGCTTAGTCCATCAAGTGTGTAGCACTTCAGCAACATTCAGCAAAAGTTACAGTGGCAAGAAAAAACTTCCTTATCTTGGGCAAGTCCAGGCTCATGATGAATAGCCATCTACCAAAACTGCACCAGGCTTGCAACAAAAAAAAGAAGCTCGTTGAGAGTTAAGAGCTGGTCCACTGTCCCACAGCCAAGAGGTAATCTGCATTGCTCCTCCTGTTTCAGAGTTTCGTCAATCGGTCAGAGCCTCCTTTTCAGTACCCTTGAGTAGACTTTCCCCAGGAGGCTGAGAAGTGTGATTCCCCCCAAATTGGAGCACACCCTCCAGTCTCCCTTTTTAAAGATGAGAAGCACCAAACCGGCCTGCCACTCCACAGATACTGTCCAGACCTCTATGCAACACTGTCACTGTCAGCAAAGACAGCCCAACAATGTCCAGAGCCTTTAGAATTTCAGGGCAAATTTCACCCACATCTGGCACCTTGCCACCAAAGAGCTTTCTAACTGCCTCAGTGACCTCTGCTAAGGTTAGTGGTAAGGCTTCCCAATCAACCACCCTCCAGGTTTCTCCATCATTGCCCACATGGGTGTAGAAGTACCCAAGTAGAACTATAGAGCACCCCACCCAGTGACTCCAAGGAGGCAGACACAATACTGGCTGAAGAAGATCCAGTTGTTTGCTTTCAAAATTAACCTCCAGACAACATCATGGGGAAAATCAACTTTCAAAAAACATCATGGGTTATCTTCAGACAACCATGACAACCTTTAGACAACATCATAGGTTATCTTCAAACAACCTTTAGACAAAATCATGGGTTATCTTCAAACAACCATGACAACCTTCAGACAACATCTTGGGGAAAATTAACCTTCAGACATAATGACAGAAAGGTTTAAATGTTTTATCTCGTTCAAGAATGGGTGCCAGCTGTTACAGACAATGTTGTTATAAACTTCATGAAACTTTCAACAGAATAATGCAATGCTTCACAATTTTATAAGATTGTTAACCCTATAAAAATTCTGTACATGTGAAAATGATTTGGCAGAAAGACCTTGAAGAAGAGATTCAATGTGGTAAATATGTGAGAGAGGCTCGGAGGAAGGTCACACAGTAAAAAGGTATTACATCGATATTATCACACACCATCCAGACCTTATAGAATGAAACTCTTGAATGATAACTTGTGCTGGAAATGTTAAAGTGAAACAGGAACTTTCCTGCATTGTATGTGGGAGTGTAGATTGGTCAGACCTCTCTGGACTCAGTCATTCAGATCATAAGCAGTTGGTTTAAGTCAGACATTCCTCTTAATCCAGGGTTGTGTTTACTGGGAGAGCAATCTCAGATACCTAACATATCTAAGTGTGAGTTGTGTGTGATCATGGTCGGTACACTAAGAGCCTGTCTAGTTATCTGAAGAAACTGGAAAACATCAAAGGCCCCACATGTGAAAGAATGGGTCAGTGTAACAACTGAAACAGCATGAGTGTATTCTAAACAGACTCAGTGACAGGAGGGTGGAGGCGGGGTCTCCCTGGGACAGGTTCTGGGACTACATAAAGGACTGGAACAGCATCTTATAAGTGTAATCTAAACAGTCTCAGCGACAGTAGGGTGGAGGAAGGGTCTCCCTGGGACAGGTTCTGGAACTACATAAAGGTGGATGACATGCCCAAATCATTTTCTGTCTCATTCCTGATAGGATCACCGTTCAGATGTTTTCCTGATTCGACTTGTTTCTACCGTGACAAGCAGTATTTGTTATACTTTTGATGTATTTGTTTTTCTACTTTTTCCTTTCTGGTCTACTGCTGTAGTTGTTCATGTTCACTGGATCTAGTCTGCTGCTGTAGTTGTTCATGTTCACTGGATCTGGTCTACTGCTGTAGTTCTTCATGTTCAGTGGATCTGGTCTGCTGCTGTAGTTGTTCATGTTCAATGGATCTGGTCTGCTGCTGTAGTTGTTCATGTTCAATGGATCTGGTCTGCTGCTGTAGTTGTTCATGTTCACTGGATCTGGTCTGCTGCTGTAGTTGTTCATGTTCACTGGATCTGGTCTGCTGCTGGTCTGCTGCTGTAGTTGTTCATGTTCACTGGATCTGGTCTGCTGCTGTAGTTGTTCATGTTCACTGGATCTGGATCTGGTCTGCTGCTGTAGTTGTTCATGTTCCCTGGATCTGGTCTGCTGCTGTAGTTGTTCATGTTCACTGGATCTGGATCTGGTCTGCTGCTGTAGTTGTTCATGTTCACTGGATCTGGATCTGGTCTGCTGCTGTAGTTGTTTATGTTCACTGAATCTGGTCTGCTGCTGGTCTGCTGCTGTAGTTGTTCATGTTCACTGGATCTGGTCTGCTGCTGTAGTTGTTTATGTTCACTGAATCTGGTCTGCTGCTGGTCTGCTGCTGTAGTTGTTCATGTTCACTGGATCTGGTCTGCTGCTGTAGTTGTTTATGTTCACTGGATCTGGATCTGGTCTGCTGCTGTAGTTGTTCATGTTCCCTGGATCTGGTCTGCTGCTGTAGTTGTTCATGTTCCCTGGATCTGGTCTGCTACTGTAGTTGTTCATGTTCACTGGATCTGGATCTGGTCTGCTGCTGTAGTTGTTCATGTTCCCTGGATCTGGTCTGCTGCTGTAGTTGTTTATGTTCACTGAATCTGGTCTGCTGCTGGTCTGCTGCTGTAGTTGTTCATGTTCACTGGATCTGGTCTGCTGCTGTAGTTGTTTATGTTCACTGGATCTGGTCTGCTGCTGTAGTTGTTCATATTCACTGGATCTGGTCTGCTGCTGGTCTGCTGCTGGTCTGCTGCTGTAGTTTTTCATGTTTACTGGATCTGGATCTGGTCTGCTGCTGTAGTTGTTCATGTTCACTGGATCTGGATCTGGTCTGCTGCTGTAGTTGTTCATGTTCACTGGATCTGGTCTGCTGCTGTAGTTGTTCATGTTCACTGGATCTGGATCTGGTCTGCTGCTGTAGTTGTTCATGTTCCCTGGATCTGGTCTGCTGCTGCTGTGGTTGTTCATGTTCATTGGATCTGGTCTGCTGCTGTAGTTCTTTATGTTCAGTGAATCTGGTCTGCTGCTGTAGTTCTTTATGTTCAGTGAATCTGGTCTGCTGCTGGTCTGCTGCTGTAGTTGTTCATGTTCACTGGATCTGGTCTGCTGCTGGTCTGCTGCTGTAGTTCTTTATGTTCAGATGTTCAGTGAATCTGGTCTGCTGCTGTAGTTCTTTATGTTCAGTGAATCTGGTCTGCTGCTGTAGTTCTTTATGTTCAGTGAATCTGGTCTGCTGCTGGTCTACTGCTGTAGTTGTTCATGTTCACTGGATCTCGTCTGCTGTTGTAGTTATTTATGCTTGCTGGATCCGGTCTGCTGCTGTAGTCCTTTATGCTCACTGGATCTGGTCTGCTGCTGTAGTTCTTTATATTCCCCTGATATGGTCTTCTGCTGTAGTTTTTCATGGTCACTGGATCTGGTCTGCTGCTGTAGTTGTTCATATTCACTGGATCTGGTCTGCTGCTGGTCTGCTGCTGTAGTTGTTCATATTCACTGGATCTGGTCTGCTGCTGGTCTGCTGCTGTAGTTGTTCATGTTTACTGGATCCGGTCTGCTGCTGTAGTTCTTTATGCTCACTGGATCTGGTCTTCTGCTGGTCTGCTGCTGTAGTTCTTTATGTTCACTGGATCCGGTCTGCTGCTGTAGTCCTTTATGCTCACTGGATCTGGTCTGCTGCTGGTCTGCTGCTGTAGTTGTTTACATTCCCTTGATATGGTCTTCTGCTGTAGTTTTTCATGTTCACTGGATCTGGTCTGCTGCTGTAGTTCTTTATGCTCACTGGCTCTGGTCTGCTGCTGGTCTGCTGCTGTAGTTGTTTATGTTCACTGGATCCGGTCTGCTGCTGTAGTTCTTTATGCTCACTGGCTCTGGTCTGCTGCTGGTCTGCTGCTGTAATTGTTTTTGTTCACTGGATCTGGTCTGCTGCTGGTCTGCTGCTGTAGTTCTTTATGCTCACTGGCTCTGGTCTGCTGCTGGTCTGCTGCTGTAGTTCTTTATGCTCACTGGATCTGGCCTGCTGCTGTAGTTGTTTATATGATGCTGATGGAATGTTGATGGTGCCAATGATGCTGATGATACCAATGATGCTGATGATACCAATGATGCTGATGGGATGTTGATGGTATCAATGATGCTGATGGTACCAATGATGCTGATGGTACCAATGATGCTGATGCTATTGTTGTGTTTCAGTTTGTATCTGACCTTGGCTGTGTTGCTTTGGTCCATTTCTGTTGGACTCTTTCTCTATCTCTCTCCCCCTCTCATTCTCATTCTCTCTCTCTCTCTCTCTCTCTCTCTCTCTCTCTCTCTCTCTCTCTCTGTAGGCTAATATTATTGTGGTTATTGTGTGTTAAAATGTGCACTTGTGACTGAAATGTATTGTTATAGTGCTAGAAGCGTTATTGTGAAGTGTGACTTT